AGTTATGTTACTTTTGCATTTCAAGCTGAAATAATCTATAGTTGACAATTGCAAAAAAAAGTGCTGTGACTTTCTTTGATATCTTTCTGGTATAAAAATCCTCAGTACTAGATTTCAACATGACCTGTACACTTATGCAAGTCAAATAGCATCACTTGTTATCCCTGCACATCGTGAAGGTTCTCATTGCTGAAAATTATTTTGTTTGTGTCTTGCTATCGTTGAACTCTCTCCAAAGTGAAGGGTATTGAAATCTAATATAGCTTTTCAATTGAGGAGGATGTTCAACACTTACAGAGGGATTGAGCTGAGCCTTATTTATCTTGTCATTCATGAGGCTTCATGCTTATCCAAAGGTTTTGGAATGGAGTGATCTGCTGGGATTCCTTTCCCTTTCTTCTGCCTGCCCTCCCCCCCCAACCCCCTATTCATTCAACTGCTTTTTTTCCACTGTCTCTGAGGAGGATATGCTTTAAAATATCTGTTCCCACAATTTTTAGTGCAGCATTAAAAAAAAAGAGCCTTAAGACAAAAATACAAACTTTTTTTATGTTTGGTGGTTTGTTTTTTATATTTTTAACAGGGTAAACTATTCTGTTTTATGGTTTTTAAAATTTTGTTTGTTAGTGCATAATGAAGCAGTGACATGGTATTAAATTAATTTATGCTGTTGGATTTTGTCTATGTCCTACTGTGATATGAGCATGCATTATGGATTTGGATTTTATTCTGCCTATGGTTATTGTTGCGTGCACGTCACAATATGAAAAGATTAGTACATTTTCTTTCTTGAGTCTTTATTTCCCTGTGTTGTAGACATGAAAAAGAGGGTCATGTAAGTGCATTTGTTATAAGATTATTTACTGCAGTGCCAGCAATATAGATAACATGTGAAAATAAACATTGATTTAGCTTATAACTTCTGGGACATTTGCAGTTACAAAAACTGAAACTGCAAACCAATTCAATATTTACAGGCATTTCTCAGATCCTTCATAAAGCTTTTCTCCATATGGAAAAACTCATTTATTCCTATCTGTTTCTTCTCTAAACTACAACCCTGACGTCACACTATGGTTTTGTAGAACTTTGTGAAAAACAAATTCCTTCACTCAGAACCCCAAAACCCTAATATCACAGACTGATCACATAGTAGTTTTATTCTTCAATACTTATTTAAGTACTGTGAATTATACATTCAATATATATTCACAGTAATTAATTAATTTCAGTGAATAAAAATAAAATTTTATTACTTCATTATTAAATCTATCATCAAATAGAATTTTATTTTATTTACTAAATTTATTTATTATTTATTTAATTAATTAATCCTTTTTATTTATTTATTTAAAAGAGTATATTCTTTTAGAAATAGTGCACAAATGTTTATATTGCCACAACATTTATTTTATTATTGTTGTTGTTATTATTATTGTTATTATTATTATTATACAAACCTATAAAAATATGTGGCTTAAACTAGAGAAAGAAGCTAACAGCCTTAGGTTATTTTAAATGTGGCAATAACTTCCTGACATTTTTTTCATGCTGCCAGTCTGATGGACTTCAGTTTCTATGAGATTTTTACCAGGCATTTCCCCTAAATCTCCTGTGTGATTGTTATTAGAAGCAGAATTCAGATTTGGGCTCATAACACCCCTGGTAAAGCCTCAAACTTGTGGCAAGTTGCATTTCAAGACAAGCAGGAGCAATGCAGACACTGTTGGTGTATTCATAAAGCCATTCCTAGGAAGACTGGGCTGGTAGTTGTTTGAATAATGGATGGCTCAACCCATTTCTCTCTGGCTTCTGTATTCAAAAAATTATTTCTTCTCGTTAGCAAAACACATAAAGTCTCCCTTTCCTTTCTTTCCACATTGTGCTGCACTTTTATGATGTTTTTTTTGCTACTGAGATATGCTCCCATCAGCATGTGGTCAGGTGTCAGTCATGTTCTGTCACATCTGATTTGTTTTGCTCTCTCATTGGAACTTTCTCTCTTAATTTCACAGATGAATTTGACATTCAGGGTCCCTTCCTGTGCTGATTATCCAGAGATAATGAATGCTGCTTGTATATGCATGTATTTTCACCTTAATATAAAAAAAGTTTTGACATTCAAAAAATAACACATCAGTCAGACTTCTAAATATAAATAGATTAATCAAAGAGACCTTGATTTCTCAGTGCTTCATTCAAATTATGTTTATTTGTGAATTGTAGTTTCTAAGGAAAGTATAATTACCTTTTGGATGTTACACCTTTGTGGATTTTCACTGTAACTTTGGTATCATTACAATTTTATAGGGAGCTAAAAGAATAAAAAAGACAAGGCATTTCAACTGAAAAAAAAAGAATTATGTGAGAAAAGGTTGCTAATAGCTGTGAATAATTTCTCTTTTTGGCAATCAGTTGGATATTGCCATATGGAGCTTCAGATGAAAGAATAATTTGGCCATTGATTTCAGTGGGGCCTCTTGCCAAGTCCCAGAGCAGAGCCAGGGCACAGGACCTGCAGCAGCAGTCGCTGAAATGCCTGGTGGAATAAGGCCACAAGAGGAGGGGGGATGAATGCCTGAGGTGTTACTTCACACCTAGGAGTAGCTAGGAATAAAGCTCCACTCTTGTTTATGTCTTTACAAAGATGAAAGTTGAACAAAAAGCCATGGGAAAGGTCCAGGTTCCATCATGGCAAGGCACAAAAGCGAGAGGACGTGACAGAGTGCTTCAGAGACAGTCCCTTCCCTCATCATGGAGGTGCTCTTCTTAACCATGCACTAAAACTCTTGGGGTGAGGTTAAATACAATTGATAAGTCTGTCTTCTGGTTGTCTAATTTAAAACTAATTTTGGTACTGATCTTTCCTAGTATTCCTAAGTTTTTCATGAATAAACGAAGCAGCAGATTATAGGAAATACTCAAAGGTTTTGAGTGGGGAAATCCACAGGGCAATCTTTCAACTCTCTGAGGCAATTAGAGAATCTCTGTGAATGGCATTTCCCCTGAAATACATCCTGATTTCAAAGTGAGTTATATCATGTAATATTTACATCCATTCAGACTTTCCACTAATGTGTAAGAATAGATGCTTTCTTGGCTGCATATGCATAATGTGGTGAGGTGAGGGGAGGTAAGCCACTTAAGTTCCAAGAACATGGTTCATCAAGGGTCTGTGAATCCCAGCTCAGAATGGAATAAGATAAAATATTCTCAGTCTGGACAATCAAGAAGCATTTTTTTATTGCTCTAAGTAGATGACTGTATTATTTTTAACTTACGCACCATTTAAGAACGGGAAATTGGTGTAGTGCTGTTATCCTCAGTGGCACTCACTCATGCCAGCCAAGAGTTAACTCCAGAGAAAAGAATGATCCATGCATGTCAGGCACATGCAATTATCAGGCCAATTCATTGGTATGATTCCCATTAAGATTTGGCTTTAAGGCAAATTCTGGAAACTTGGTAAAATCCTTTCACATTATGAATTAGAAGATCACACATAGTGAAAAACAGGAAAAACAAAGCTAGAACAGTAAGGAAGGTAATCAAAGGCACATGTGAAAATGTCAAATTTGGCAGGCAGCAGCTGCCATCAGTACTGAAAGGGAAGTCATGGCTGAGCTGGGAAATCCTTTAAACATTCAGTCTGGGAAGTAGCTGGGTGCATGAAGGATTTTCCAGGTGTTCTGTGCACAATAGCATAACGTTATTAGACTCTCTAAAATTATGCAGGGTTTTTAAGATTTGGTTGCTAACTGAAAGGAAATCCAGTACTGACAGCTCAGTAAAAGGGGCAGCTGACAAAAATACAAAATTCTGGAGCTGGAAGTTCAAGTGATAGCTGAGAAGAGAGGGTGGTCATTACAAACTGAGATGTCCTTTCATGAAATTTGTTCTCTTCCCTTTCCTTGGCTATTAACTGCCAAGAGCTGAACAGATCCTGTGCATTCAGATACGAGGGAAGAGTGGGAGAATTTCTCCTGCTACTAGAAGTCACAAGTTCCAGGTTCCATGCGTTGTGAGCTCTCCTCCCTGTTTGTTCAGCTGCTTTTCCCTCCTTGAAATCATTGGTTTCTTGCAAGGTCTAAACCCACATTGCTTTTTCACTCATCCTTCTTGGGGCTATAATCTGCTCACTTTCTGCCAAAAAATTGCAATCTGCTCTCTTTTGCCTCAAGTGCTCAAAAAACACTCAGGTGTTCAAAACCAGCAGAGCTGGGTTAGCACGTGGACTCAATCTTAGATGTCATCTTGTCCTAGTTTAGGGAAAATTTGGGAGGAAAACTCCAAATGGGGGTTTCCCCAGGGAAATGGCCCCTCCCCACCCCCAACTGGTCTGGGAAAGGAAAAAAATTCCTTGGAGAGAAGTGGGAAAAGCTGTTTATTTAACAGAAATTGAATAATATTAAATAATAAAACCTCTCGCTGCTGGATGGGATGGCAAGTCTAGGAAGAAAAGTCTTTTTCATGTGGTGCAGCTCGGCTCGCTCAGGTTCTTATCAGTCCCTCCGGCGCTGGAAAGTGCCGAGGCCCAGGCCCCGGTGGGCCACAGGCGTGAGCTCCCGGGGTTTGGCTGGGTGTTCAGTCCAGAGCAGGCTTGCACAGATCCAGGAAAAAGGGGAAAATAAAAACCAAAGGTCCAGGGAACTCCTCTGCCTCAGCTAGCTAAAACTAACTAAAAGTCAGAGAGAAGCTCTGTCCCGCTGTCTGTCTGTGCTGCAGACACCACAGTCCAGGAGCGGGGTGTGTGGGAGTGATGTTTTAATTTAACACAAACTGTGCGCTTCTTCTACCCCCCACTCTCACTCTCAGGGCCAGTCTTAAAGGTGCAGAACTTAATACATAACATAAACCAGGCGACTGGGGATACCAGTATCATAAAGTCACCCTAGACTTCTCCAGCTTGAGAAGTGTGTGATTCCACGTCTGTAATGCACCTGCAGCCAACTGCCCCCAGGTGAGGCCCCTGTCTCTGCCCAGCCCAGGGCACAGGCAGCCTGTCCACCTTGGCCTTGGGCCACAGCTTCCCCCATCCCTCCAAGCCTGCCCCAGTTCCCAGTTCTGTTTCTCCAGCTGGAGCCCAGGGGCTCAGCAGCCGAGCTGAAGGCAGAGCTCAGCGTGGGTCAGTGCTGCGCTTCAGGGTCTGCCAGCCTCCCTTGAACTCTGGAGGCATAATTAGGGATAATAGCCAGTGGATCAAATTTAAGTGCCCAACATAAAGGATAAGGTATAGAGCATTCTAAAGCGTTTTGTGTATGTTAGCTCTTCATTATTTTCAATCAAGGCTGCAAATGAGCTGTGTAAGGAGAGTACATCAGTGGAGATTGCTGTGTGGTTGAAGTGCATGTGAGTACAATTACATACATGCCACTTTCTGTCTGCTGAGTTGTATTTTCCACTTAGAGAGAGGGAAAGCTGCTGGAACACACATTGACAATTTGTTCTTGAATTTTCTGGAAGGTAACCATTGTGACTGCTCAGCCAAAATCATTATGCAAGATTCAAAGCGTGTACAATTTCCAACTCTCTTTCCAAGTGTGATTTGCTGTGGTAGTGAACTGTGCATCAAATTCCTGTCAAAGCATTCTAAATGGCCTTTCTAAAATACTTCTAGAAATGTAATTGGAATGTTAATTGTAATAAGTTGAGCTCTGTGACACTCTCATAAATTTGGGTAAAGTGCAACAACTCTACATTTATACTACTCTAATGAAAAGCACCAGCACAGGGTCTAATGAAAAGCATCAAGGCAGGGTCTTAAAACATAAATGGTGTCCAATTTCTTTGCAAACTAGATTTGTATCTGAAGTTTCATTGATTTGAATTAATCAAGTAAAACTAAGTTCATATTGCACTCTAATCCACACGATTAAATTCTTCCCTGGAAGTGTAAGGGTATAGTGGATCACATGGATAGTGATCTCAAACAAAATTTCAGCCATATAAAAAGCCAAGTTCTCTTGTTGCAAGTAGGTTAAATTCCAGATAAAGTCATATATCTCAGAATCACTACTAGTTTAGGTATAAAATTTTTTGCACAATTGTGTGCAAAATTGTGTGCACTAAATTAGAGTAGTTGGTAAGAAAATTGGTTTTTTAACTAAACCCTAGAAGCCTATAGGAGCACGTAATAACTTTGGGCTCCTGAAGAAAGCCTCAAATAACAGTGCCTTTTCAACAGGTACTTTCAGGGAGGAGTGTCAGAATTTGTCTGCTGTCAAATGGGTCAATAGAGCCAATCCTATGAACACCTGCATTTTTTTCCCTGAGTTCTGTTAGCTTGGGGGATGACCCCAAGGTCTCATGTCTCCTCTTAATGGTGGACTTCTGTATTTGGAAGTGACTTCACATAAAAATCTCAAACTTACGATTTCCTTGCAATCTTCCTGGATGCAGGAAGAAAAAGTCTGTTTCCAGCTGTGTTTCCCTGGCATAGCACCCTGGAGGCAGCTGTGTAGCTCCTCTGGCCAGAAGGGCGTGTTGGGTTTGCATCTGCAGGGGCACAGCTGTCCCCAACCCCTCTGCTGTGAAGGACCACATCAGCACACTCCAAAAATTATGGCTGGAGGGGAAATATGCAGCCAGTTTCAAAAAGCTCTATTTACCTCTGTTACACAGCAGCAGTTACTGTTGGAACGTTAGAGACTTGATAATTTTGTATTATTAAAAAGGAAAATTTGATTTGCCTCCTGAAACTTTTGACAGGTTCATAATGGCAGGCAGATAATGGATATAATTAATTCTCTGAAATGAAGGAGTAGAAATAATAATAGTAACACTAGCGTAATGTATTGCTCTGATTTGTTAATGTTAATTATATCAATGAATTATTGTGAGGTTAAAATATTTAAATAGAGCAGCTTGCAATTTTTTTAATTGCTGCGTTTGTGCATGATGTAACCTGATAAATATTTGTACAAACAGACTTTGTCTTTTCCAGGGAATATGAAGACATTTCAAGTAATGCATGCTGGAAGAGAAACTGTCTGACACCCAAACAGTCTGAGTTTTAAGCATTTAATTAAGGATCTTCTATATTCAGAAAGATGCAAAACCCAATAAAAAACTGTATTCAACTGAACATTTAGCCTGAAATTTGGGGAATACGAATGATTATCTTTCCTCTTTAATGGATTTCACTAGACTTTAGTCATATTTCTTACTCTTGGTGCCCTAATCTAACATCTGCAAAATGAAAATAATGTATCTGGGAGAGATTATTGTGGAATTCCCATTAATTAATTTATCTGAAATTCTTAGAATTAAAGCAATAAGATGTCACAGAAATACTGTGAATTCTGACTTGAATATAAATTGATTTAAACAGATGTCAAAGATATCCAATTTGAAGTATTAGTAAAACTATGTTTTATTTATTGATGATGTTTCATTTGAGTTAGGTACTGCAATAACACCTTGGATAACAGAGTCCCCAGAGGATATAAGACTCACACACATAGAGTTTTGAAAAGAGTCATTTGTTTATTCAGAAAAAGATAGCCATTGAAACAGCAGCACATGCCTTAAATCTCATTAAAAGTTAAAAAAATTCTCTGAGTATATTCCATGTATATCGGTGTTTCTAATCAGTGCAACTGTCCAGGGAGCAAGCTGGAGATTCTGGCAGCATTCAAACAATATTCCCCCATCACTGCCTTCTGGCAAACTGAGGGGAGAACTGTCTTCTGTTTTCCAACCAGAAATGATCTGCTGCTTTCCCTGGAGTTGGTCACTCGGTGCCAGAGGACATCTGGCCTACTCTGCTCCGCACATAGATAACAGAAGTGCACAGTGCTCTATGTCTAGAATTTTCCTTGTTGTCGACACTTAATTTGCAGTAATATAATTTAATATTAAGTATTGTAGGGAAGGAGGCCTCTGTGACTGTGTGCAACAAAATGCACAGCTTGTTTTCAAACTGCTTTCCCTTTTCTACTCGAAACATGTCAGGATGCAGTGAATATCCTCTGCGAGCGTAGCCATATGTTTCCCCTCTGCACCCATGTCAGGACCCATATGCTTGCCTGAGTTTGTTTTCTCTGCATGCTCCAGGATTTTTCTATGGCCTTGTCTTTTTATTTGTCTGCAAATAACTTAGCTCCCGTTTTGAGCTGGAATTTGTGTAAGGGAACAATTATTTTCTGATTAAGTATACATTAAACCTGAGGGAAAATGATCAAGCTTTTTTTAAGGAGCCAGGATAACATTTTAGTTCAGCAAATTCTGCATTGCTTAAAAGAAACCAAATTAATTCTTCCCTCACTAAGTATTTTTAGGTTTAGGAAGATATGAGTTGCAGTGATGCTTTAGTGCTTAACAGTTTCTGCATTGATAAAAAACCTTAGCAGGCAGCCGTTGACAGTTAAAAAAATAAACTGCAGATTAGAAACCTAAATGACATGAAACTGAACTCAGCCAGAAGTTGAAGGAGGTAGCTAAAATGTTGGACATCCAGGTGTTTCAAAGGTGTTATCGAACTAGCTGGGAATTGGATCTATTCGAGATGGGTTCTGCTATAACTGCTCTTGCACTTTATCTTATTTTCAGATTTATGAAGGTATAAAACTAAAATTACATGAAGTATCTACTATAGGAGTAGTATCACAGCTTTTCTGGCTACTGCAAGTAAATTCCTAGAAATCTGTATAAGAAATTGGGACTGTAGTGGTAAGAAAGGGCTGGATCCCAGCAGTGTCTCTCAGGCTGAGCAAACCAGCCTGCAAACTCTCAGTCATTGGAGTTGGTAAATACAGCAGTGTGGGAAAGAGTGTAAGTTTACTTTTATGTGGAGCAATACCAAATTTATCCACTTCTCCATACCTCTAGGAGACAAAATAAATTGATTTACCTGCCTGCAAAATTAAACAATGCATTACAGAATGAAACCATGCAAGTGAATGAGATATGCTATGTGACTTTAGTTGAGAATTGAGCTGTGAGAAGAAAACTCCCAAGTTTCCCATTCCTGATGCATCTTTCCTTTTCTATTTTTGTGTAATATATCCAGGCATCAATACCTTTTATTAGATAAATTGCCCTAAAACTGTACCCTTTTCCAATAGACTATTTGTTTATCTGTACATACGAGTGATGCTTAGTGAATTTTTCTCGTTAGAGTTACATCAGCCACTGCTGGTACATCCATCTTATGAGCTCTGCCTTCTTCTTGTTATCCCAAAAGGGTAAAATGGCTTATCCTGAGATATCAGTGCATCAGGGGAATGAGTAAAGCCAATCACACTCTCATTAATGTCCTTTTCCTTTTCTTTATAATATCTCTTGGAATAATAAATTTCCACCTCAGGGTTGAAAATTCAGATCATTTATTGTCATTATTCAGATGGTAATTCTGATTTTCCTAACATATTAAATTCAGTCTTTTAAGAAAAGGATTAAAGCTTTCTTCTCATTTGTCCTCGGTTTTTTCAAGTTTCTGGTATGGAAATGGAATTTATTTACAAAAAAAAAATCAAACTTAGGATCTCAAGGCAAAAGTGATTTAAGGAAATTAGCAGAGAAAATGAATTTATTGGCCTGTGAACCAATGAAATGTTGAACAGATTAAGGATATGAAAAAAACAGTCCTATTAATCTTGATAAAGGGGTTCATGAAGTCAAAATATTTTTAAATATTAGGTTTCATTAGCATTGGTTGTTTATAATCCTCCCAAGGACTAAATGTTATTATTGTTATTAGACTTTTATTCCCCTAAAAATATGTTCATTAAGGCTTAACTTGTTAGTCAACACAGATTGATTTCTGCAACTAAACTACAAAATACAGCAACAAGACTAATTTTTCTCAGCTGTTCTTCCTTTCATTTTCTTTGACTCTTTAAAATTGCATCTTTAAAAGGTGCTATTGTCTCAGACTGAGGCTCGAAGTAAACTGCATAAACTGAAAGGTAAAAGAAGCCATGAGTGTAAAGCCAGGAAATGCTGATGAGAGATCTTCCTGGGAAGCAAAAAGCTTAAACACCTCTGAAGCAGCAGTGAAATTGCCTTTTTTCAGCTCTGGGGTATTTTTGCACACTTTGGTGCAAGCATCATGTGTGCTTCAGCAGATGGCCTTCTCTGCCTTCTTAGCACTTCAACAGTTTATTTCTGGGACAACAAATACAAACTTGCTCCAGGCTGGTGACAAACCTGCAAGTAAGGCTGTACAAATAGTTGATAACCATTTGGGCAGGCAAATAATACCTATAATAATATAAATATAATTTCCAATTAGGGAAAAATGCTCATGTGCTTGATGCCAGAACAGTAATTTGGAACTTGAATTGATCATTCTTCTTTAAAAGAAAAACAAAACAAAACAACAAACACAAGGGAATATTTTGTCTTAAAAGCAAAAGAAATGTTACTCAAAAACCTGCTGGAAGAGGAACACTACTAGGAGTAGTGTTCACATTTTGCATACTCGAAGTAATATGGTTTACATGTACAAAAACACAGCACTCTGGTTCAGTTCTCACTTCTCAAAAGAAAATCTTGTTCTCTGCTAATGTTTCAGCTGCTCATGGTCAGCCTTCTGTGGATTCTCTGCCTGCTTTTGGAAGTAATAACCATGTCTCAGAAGGTCTGGAAGTTTTGTATCCTGTGTTGCAAGTGAATGTCTCAGGGAATAAAGCTCTTTTCTTGCTCAGTTTCTGACTGGAGAGTGTCAGAGAGAGAAAGGCTCAAAATGCCTCAGGGGAAGGGTGGCCTTGATGTCAAACTTGCTTTGCCCAGGAATTTCTCTTGGACTGTCAGTTAAAGGGAGATTTTGAGAAATGCTCTATCATTCCTCCTTCAGCTTTTCCCCTTTTGATAAAAAAAAAATAGTCAGACTTAACTAAAATTCTTAATTTTGCCCAGAAGCTCATTAAAGTTTGTATATATTTCTCTCTGATTTATAATATATTTCAATTTAATTTTAAGTTTTCCATGAAATGAATATTTCTAAGTGATAGCATTGGTAGAATTGTTTTGTTATTTTTAATAAACTATTAGCCAACCAATAAAATAATTTAAGCAGCTATAGAGCAGGAAATCTTTCATGAGGCCATTTTTATTATAGCCAGCCCGAAGTAATTATGACCTTTGGATAGTGTCTCATGACCAGTTAAAGTAAATTGCTGAGAACAGCAATAAAAGATAATAATAATAAAAAAACAAAAATAAAAAAACCCAAACAATAAAACCCAAAAAGCAATAAACCTGTCGTATCCACTGCTGTCTCTTTGCACAAAATATATACTGCTATTCTGGGGATTTGTAGTTTTCAGCTGAAAAGATTTTGTGGGCCTTCAGCATAACATCAGACAATTTTTAATGTTGCTCACCTCTAATATGGGCAAAACATTTACCAGGTAGTTTTGACAGATCAAAATGCAAAGCAGTATGAGAAGAAATTGACTATTGTTTAAAGTGAACAGAAATTTATTTAATGATTTTATGTTATTATTCTGGGCAATAGTGAGGTAATAATGAAGTCCAGTTAAGTATCACAATACTCCAAAGAATGTGGCTTAAGAAACAAGGAAACACTTGTCAGATTTTGTCATTCCTCTTTCACCTAAGTATCTAGAACTGGTGACTAGTGCTCTCCAGTGCAAATGAAGAACAAAAGACCAAATTTTATCACACAAAATGTTTCAGGGAGGACTGGCTCCTCATACTGCTAAGAGCTTCCTCTGGTGACTCCTGAAGGATTGTAGTTGATGTGGGTGCTTTGAACTAATTTCACTAATTGTGAAAATGAACAGGATTTGGCTTGGGGTGGCTGAGTAGGTGGGAATAACAGAAGGATAAGTTTTTTTACACAGCCCTAAGGAGGAAAAATGAAGGCAGCACTGTCCCTTTTGTTTGTGGACGTTGATGAATGTGAAGCAGCCGTGAGATCACATCTTCAAGGCACCATCAGCCAACCTTGAGTGAATCCATCCAGATTAGTGGGATCACCTGGAATGAATTCAAGAACCAAACTCAGGAAAACTGGAACTGCAGCAGCTTTCGGGAAATGGGCTTTGCAGTCAACCTCTCCTGGGATTTCTGGGGGTAGAGAGAGTTTGAAAGTAGCTTCCAATTTTTTGCTTTTGC